CCGAGAGCATTATCAAATCGGTCGGGGGCACACAAGTTGCAAAGCCGAAAATAAAGCAAACATCGGCGCTTTGAATGGCGGAGCGTTTTCGCCACGCGCGTGATTAAATTTCATTTGTGGACCCAACCAAAACGGATCCCAACTGACTGACTGAGTCCTTAGTCCTTAACTCGCCGTATTTACCGACGTTTTAGTGCCTCGACTAGCTCGGGTTATTCGGAAAGCCCCTCTTTTTCCCGCCTTTTCCCCCCAGAGTGGATTCGCATTAAGATTGTCAAAGATTTGGACGCCAGTAGGGAGCCACCACTCGAGCCGTTCACTTTGTTTCGCTTGGTTTACCTGCAGAGCCAAAAGAAAAAACGCTCGGGGAGCCATTTGGAAGATTTTAGGCGGCGATTTATCGCTCAGCTCCTGAGTGGGTGCCACCGATACCGATACTTTAGGCCCAGAGATAGCAGTCTATTCCGCCGGCTCACCATCGAGTTAATTTGAATGTGAAGGCTGTAAAAGAAAGAAAAGGTTGTTCAATGTCACCGGGGCTTTGCTCGTCTATCCGCCATGCGATTCCAATTTCGCGATAGTGCACGGAATAAATGGATGTAGGGATGGGAATAGGAATAGGACTCCTATTCCCAGATCCCACCTACATGCATATGCCACAGCTCGACTGCCTCCTTATCGACATGGACAACAATGGCAGCGGCACTAATAAATTCTGGCATTAGCCCTCGTTTCCAAAAAGGAGGGCGTGGTACTCAAACCCGGGTATATTACTTGACATCAGGGGAGTGCTTTGTCGAGCCGTAAAAATTGTGTTGCCTACTTGACGGGGCAGTTTTAGGAACCCACCCTAATACAGTCAAACTTCTTTGTTGCACGCCACTATTTTTAAAGAGCAAATTTTTAACGCTACTCTATGTCTTTATGAGTTAAGGATTTTGAGTTTAATTTCAAGAGCTTGCAAATACAGATTTGCAATCTTTCTAAGGAAAATATATAGACAATCCTTGGGTTTTTATATTTATTATAATATTCCAAATTAACAATGGTCAATTAAATTTTAAATAAAAGAAAATATTGAAGACATTCAATAAAATAAATAAAGTGTAAGTTAATTTTCAGAATAAGCAAGCTTATAGACTAAATTTCTCAAACTGCATCAAGTATCAACAAAAAATCGATTTACTGAAGTTTAAACTTTAGAGGCGAGATCACATTTAATTTAAGCGCCGAGCTAAAAAAGTTTTTGAGTCGCACAAAAATTCAATTTGTAAAAGTTCGAGCCCAAGAAGTTGGCCTGTAGTTTTTTCTCATTTCCCTAAGCTTTTTGGGTGCCAGTTGGCAGGCAATTTCAATAAACACATCGCCTCGTCTCGGAAGTTTTAATAATTCAATAGGCAACAATGCGACATGGAAAATCGCTTCATATAATTACGGCCCGCATAAAAATTCAACAAATGGCCGGCGGCAGGCACTTTATTGAATGTCAGCTCAGCAGAAATTGCCTATTCGCTGTTCTTGACTTCAATTTAAATTCAAAGACTGTTATTGCAGCTGTCACAGATACGAATACATGCCAAACATGTGGCCATTGGGTCGGGTATGTGGCTGAATCTGAAATTTAATGTTGTGATTTGGTGTAATTCGATGCTGCAGTGGGTCTGCGATCCGAATCAATTTCAATTGTTCAAACGAAGCGCCATTAGGTTGCACAGAATTAATTTTTTGGGCCACCGAGAGAGGACCCCAGGGTACTGGAAATTGAAATACTCTGTACTGTACACTACTTTATGAAATTCATGTGAAAATGAACAACTAACCGAGTTTACGCCATCATGCTGGGCACGATTTTCCGACCGCTTTTCCTTGAAACCAACTCCGCGTCCAAGTGGGCATACCCGCATATAAATGCCGGACAGGCGTTTGCTTAACTTTCATGAGGCCATTCAATGACTTAACAATTTCCATTTCGGTGCCCTTTCCAGCCACGCACGCACACAACAGCCAGCTAACTGAAAAGGGTCAAAAGGTTTTTCACACATATACAAATTGCTGGCCTGGTCGAAAGCATTTTGCATAGAGGCCAGACTTGGCTTTTGGCCAGCTTTTACCCAGCTTTCACCAGCAACCTTAAAGGTTGCCTCAATTAAATTTCTCGGCCCAGACACAAAAAATAAACAGAAAATCCCCAGGAAGCTGCAGGGCACCGCCCACTTGTTCATATGAATTTCTGCTACACGGGGAAAATAAAAGCGATGAGATCGTTCTAAAAAATTATGATATTATATATATTGTTTTCCAGTTCCATTTAAAATTTTAAAGTTCAAAATTGTTATTTTATAACCAAAATTTTTTAGTTAAAATGAAATTTTTGATATCAGATAACACTTCAATCAATTTAACTATCGATTCGAGAGTTTAAATTTAAAATTAAATCATTTTAATTAACTTTTTTCTTTATGAGAGTAAAGGCTTTTACAAGTGTCATTATAAATTTAACCTTAATTCGACTTTAGTAGAGCGATAGTTCGGATTTTATCAAAAATATTTCTCATCCATTTTTCCGCGCAGTGCACACATATTTTTCGAGTTTCTCATTTGGTTGCCCTGTTTTTATGCCAGCTCCCTAGCCCCGTGCTCGCATTTTGACTTACTGCACATCAACAGCCTCATCAGGCGTGCGAGTAAGTGAAAAAAATGTTTGCGTTTTTAGCCAGTGTGCGAGTGAGAAATATGCCAGCAAATTGTGCTAAAACAGCTAAACAAAAAGCGAAAAAAAGAGACGCTGCTTCTGCGGTTTCTGCCGGCTCTGCAATGTGGCTAAAGAAAACATAAACCATAAACGTGTCAGACTCGGCTCAACTTCTGGTTCAGGTTCTGGTTCTGGACCGTGTTTTCCGAGGGGCAGGAGTTCAAGATAAGCCAACGACAGCAGGCAGTTGAATTTATGGCATACGCGACCCGGAAATGAGTAACCAGAATGTGGTAGGAGGCGGTATTTAGCAGACCTTCGTCCTTCGTCCTGTTCCGCTCGATAAGCTGCAGACCATATCCAGTTTAACTCCCAGTCTGATGATGACAGGTGACAATCAAGAAACGACAGCACAAACGTAACTAAGTTACAAATGATGCAGACCTGCTGAAAAGAGCACAAATTTGTAAATTAAGCCCAGCTTTTAAGACTCAAATTAAGGTTTTGTGCACATAACTGTGCTTCACCACCTGGTAGAGGATATTTTGAGGGCTCCAGAACATAGAGAATGCATTAAATAAAGGAACATTCAAAGGGCTACTCATGTCACAATACCCTTATAATCCTTTTGCAAAAATGAAATTCATACTGATTGTCAATAACAATTAGGTTCACACAAAACAAATTCTGTAGGGATTTAATTAAATTATCAACTTGCAAAGGCTTTTAAACCTTAATTTTTGTGGAATGTAAAACATTTTAGCATTACTTAAAGCTAATTTAAAGCTACCTTACCTGATGGATAAAAATTATTTTATTAATATGAAATTTGTGGTAAAATAAAATGAAAATTATTAAACATTATTGAAATTGAAATTAATAATTTGGAACCTACTAAATGAATAACTAAAAGCAGGTTATAAAAGTAAATAGGCTTCCCAAACCCAACATTTTTTACTGATTGCATTGCATTCTATATAAAGCAGGTACCTTATTCCCAATTCTCTGGCCATGATTGTTCACCTTCAATCTCAATCGCTTGGATTGCTTGAGCCGAAATTAGTTCCGGCTAAATGGGGCTTTCTGAGTGGGGAGTGCCAATGACAGATGTGCAATGCTCCCAGGACTTTAATGCTGCGAGGACTTCGTAGCCAGTGCAATCTAAAAGAGGGAGACACAGTCGCCGGCTGTTTGCATTAAGTGCGGAGCTTAGCAATCAACTCGCGCCGACAGGAGCCAGGGGTCCTGAATAATGCGCCGCACAGTTGTTGACTTCCTCTGTCAAATTCCGTTGACAAAGGCAGCATCCACTTAGTCATCCCACTCTACTCCGGATGGAGTTCAAGTGCCTAGTGGTCGCCCGCTTGACTTCCTGCCAGCCCTGGCACTCGAAATGTAATTTAATTTGTTTATTTGTGCGGCACTCCCTCCTTCCAGAGACCTCCTTTTCGGAGTCCTCGCCCTCGCCCTCGTCCTCGTCCTTTGGCTGGCGTGTCTGCTTGCCAATTAATTGGGCACCTTTTGGAGCAGAGAGCAGCAGGTGAGTCCTTCCCGATTCCGAGGCAGCCCAAAAAATCCTCTAATTAATGTGTTTGTTTAGCTTTTGTACCGCGCGGGAAATTTGCTTAACTCGGTTACCTGTGGATGCGAAAGTCAACATTTTAATTGAATGAAATTTATAGCTTGCGCTGCCAGCGATTCAATTACAATAGCTTCATTAGACTGGCGAAAAGTTTTGTCAAAAGTAAATAAGCTCTTCTCACAAAAAATAAATTTAAATAAATGTTAAGATCAGAACTTGGTCTTTAAATTATAATATTATAAATAAAACCCTTAGGAAAGGTTTTTTCTTTATACAACCAAATATAAAATTACTTCATTTTGGGTGTTTTAAGCGATAATAAAAATTATCATATATAAAACTATTTTATTTTATTTGAAGTTAAAGACTGAATATCTTATTTAAATAAAATTGGTCAGAAAACACTTCAAGTGTTTGTGCCAAATAAGAAGTGGTTACATCGTAACTTTAACTTAAGTTTATCCTGATTGCATTGTGTTCACCAGCCTCTCTATCTCTTTTGTAGACAGCTTGGCAGCCCGGCGGCGAGTCCTTGCCAAGGACATGAAAATGCGCTTCATTAATTTGGCTGGCAGTCGCGGACTGTCTGAAGAGGAAAATCAGCAGCAGCAGCAGCAGGAGGAACAGGAGCAGGAACTGCGGCAGAAATTGGAACAGGAACAGGAACAGGAACTGGAAGCCGCGTCAGCTGCAGCGACACAGCACTGAGTTGCAGACACGGTCGTCATGGTGGAGGACACTGAGTCGCCGGAAGCGGAGGGAGGGGCAGTCCCCCTGTTGGCGCTCCTCCGCGGAGATGGGCTCAATCGGACGCAGATGCAGACGCAAATGCAGACACGGCCGCCATTGCCATTCTTTGGCAGCTACAACATCTCCGAGGACGTCTACTTCTACTTCAATGGTTTGCCCACAAGCACGGAGCTGGCAAGTGGAGTTCTGAACGCCACCAGCACCTTGAGTCCCCTGGCAACGGCAACCACCACGCCAGAGCCAGATCTCTCGGAGTTTCTGGAGGCCCTGCCCAACGACCGAGTGGGTCTGCTGGCCTTCCTCTTCCTGTTCTCGTTTGCCACCGTGTTTGGCAACTCCCTGGTCATACTGGCCGTCATCCGGGAGCGGTACTTGCACACGGCCACCAACTATTTCATCACCAGTCTGGCGGTGGCCGACTGCCTGGTGGGTCTGGTGGTCATGCCCTTCTCGGCGCTCTACGAGGTGCTCGAGAACACCTGGTTCTTTGGCACGGACTGGTGCGATATCTGGAGGTCGCTGGACGTGCTCTTCAGCACCGCCTCCATACTGAATCTCTGTGTCATATCGCTGGACCGTTACTGGGCCATAACGGATCCCTTTAGTTATCCCATGCGGATGACTGTGAAGCGGGCTGCGGGACTGATAGCCGCCGTGTGGATCTGCTCGAGTGCCATCAGTTTTCCGGCCATCGTCTGGTGGCGCGCGGCAAGGGATGGCGAAATGCCGGCCTACAAATGCACATTCACCGAGCATCTGGGCTACCTGGTCTTCTCCTCGACGATATCCTTCTACCTGCCACTGCTGGTGATGGTCTTCACCTACTGCCGCATTTACCGGGCAGCCGTGATCCAGACGCGATCGCTGAAGATCGGCACCAAGCAGGTGCTGATGGCCTCCGGCGAACTGCAGCTCACATTGCGTATACATCGTGGTGGCACCACCCGCGATCAGGCGAATCAGGTTTCGGGCAGCGGTGGAGGGGGAGGTGGGGTTGGCGCAGGAGGAGCAGGAGGTGGTGGTGGGGGCGGAGGCTCTCTGAGCCACTCCCACTCGCATTCGCACCACCACCACCACAATCATGCAGGCGGCACGACCACATCCACGCCCGAGGAGCCCGACGATGAGCCACTATCCGCTCTGCATAACAACGGGTTGGCCCGCCACCGGCACATGGGCAAGAACTTCTCGCTGTCCAGGAAACTGGCCAAGTTCGCCAAGGAGAAGAAGGCGGCCAAGACACTGGGCATCGTGATGGGCGTGTTCATCATCTGCTGGCTGCCCTTTTTCGTGGTGAATCTACTGTCCGGCTTTTGCATAGAGTGCATCGAGCACGAGGAGATCGTGTCGGCGATAGTCACCTGGCTCGGCTGGATCAACTCCTGCATGAATCCTGTGATCTACGCCTGCTGGAGCAGGGACTTCCGCAGGTGAGGACTAGTGGTTTTTGCAGATCATTTAAGCTTGGCATTCATAGCATAAAAAACGTAAGAGAAATTTCTCAAATTACGAATCAAAAGTTACAAAATCTTGTAATTATTGTTTATGCTCATTTCTGATTTTTTTCACTGAGCTTTTCAATTTTGTAAGCCATTGCTTTAAGAATTTAAGATTAGCTACGCAGCTTTTAGAATGATTATTTTAAAATGTCAATAATTAATTAATTCATGTTTATTTATATTTTATTGTTTGATTCAAACAAAAACAAAACTCAAATGAAATAGATAAGCCCATTTCTATCTTTTTTCCCAAGGAAAACAATTATTTCGATAATTTTTATTGTATTATTTGGTGTCTTAGTTAATTTTATAAAGATTTGTTATAGCATTTTATATAATTAAAATTGTTTTCTATTAATTGTGTATTTTACTAAAAACGAAATAGATAAGACCATTACTATCTTTTTCCCAGGGATAACAAATATTTTGTGCTCTTCAACTTTAAATTTAAGTTCTGTTTGCCATAACAACCGTATTTATTTTCCGTTTTCGTTTCGAAGAGCCCTTTCAAAGCCCCATAAAGTACACCCCTTGTAGGCTATTTTTATTTGGTTGCGTTTCTGTGGCTTTTGAATGCCGAGCTTAACCCCTTGCCGACCTGCTCCTAACTGGCTTCTCTTCCAGGGCCTTTGTGCGTCTGCTGTGCATGTGCTGTCCTCGCAAGATTCGCCGCAAGTACCAGCCCACGATGCGCTCCAAGTCGCAGGTGAGTGTCCCCGTTTCCGCATGCCTTTTGAAACCCCGACAGGCGATTCGATTTGATTCTCCTTCTCGTTTTTACGGTCTGCGAAACTTTCGCAGTATTTTCACATTTTCCTCCCAGCTGAGTTGTTGTTGCATCCACTCTTCTTTTTGGTGCGCAAACAAAAACTGGTTGATGGAAATCGCTTTCATGAATTACGCACAGCCGGCCGTCTCCACTTTTTGTATGCTCCAAAAACAGAACTCAACGAACGGCAAAATTAATTTACAAATTTAATGAACAAGAGCCAAAAAAACTGACATTTACCTCTCGAGGTGCCCCCATAGCCGAATTTCTGCCCTCGACTCGCGTTCACACATGGAAACCCCCTGACATCCGCTGCAAAACTCATCCTCATCCGCAGCCACTGACATCCTCACATTTTCGAATCCCTGCATAAATCATCCGGGGGGCGCATCATTCAACCTGTCGACCCTCGACCCTCTGCGTGATTTTAATGAATAATTTTCTAATGTTTAGCAACTCAGACTGCATCTGAGTGGGTTGCCGAGGTTTGGCCAGAAGGGGAGCATTGCACCCAGTTTTCGCGGACGGGGAGATAAGCTTACATTTTCGTCTATAGTAACTAAGTAATTACCCCAAAGTCATGTGTTGGGATTTGACATTTCAGTCGAACTTGTCTGAACTTTCGTCTGCATGTAAAGTCCTAATTGGAAACATTTAATTAAGCTTCCAATTAGTAAAAACTGTATTTTTGGAAAATTTCATTTTTATTAGCGAGATATAAACAATAGAAAAGTAGGTTAGTTCGGAAAGAAATTAGTTTGTTATTAATGTGGCTACAAGGCGTATGAGTAATATTTTTTATGAACCAAACATTTAAAATTGCGAAGTTCTTTTAAGCAATAACTTACATTTTTATAGGTATTAAAAAAAAATAAATTATTTATCTTACATTTTAAATAAAGAAAATATATGAAATAAATTACATATCTAATTGGGTCAGGCATAACTTAAGAAAAAACAAGAAAGAAAGCAAACTTCGGCAAGCCGAAGTTCATATACCCTTGCAGCTATTGCAAGAATTAAACATTTTTGAAAACATTAAAATTATGATTTACTTTCGTATATGTTTAAAAACTTTGAAGCTATGATGATTTGCAGCTCAATTATTTGATAGTTATTTTATATATTTTTATTATTTCTGAGGGAGCTATATGATATAGACGTCCGATTTTGATAAAATTTAAACCATAATTCTGAAATATTTAACCATTGCTATATGTCGAAGAACTACACAAAAAATTAAAAAACAGAAAAGTTATAATTTTTTTCATTTATTTTTCCGATTGTTCCTATGAGAGCTATATGATATAGTCGTCCGACTTTGATGAAATTTAAACCGTAAATCGGAAATATTTAACCATTACTAAATGTCGAAGAACTAAACAAAAAAATAAAAAACAGAAAAGTTATAATTTTTTTCATTTATTTTTCCGATTGTTCCTATGGGAGCTATATGCTATAGTCGTCCGATTTTGATGAAATTTAAACCGCAAATCGGAAATGTTTAACCATTACTAAATGTCGAAGAACTAAACAAAAAATTAAAAAACAGCAAAGTTATAATTTTTTTCATTTATTTTTCCGATTGTTCCTATGGGAGCTATATGCTATAGTCGTCCGATCCGGCTCGTTCCGACTTATATACTACCTGCAATAGAAAGACAACTTTTGGGAAAGTTTCATGCAGATAGCTTTAAAACTGAGAGACTAGTTTGCATATAAACGGACGGACAGACGGACAGACTGACAGACGGACAGACGGACGGACAGACGGACAGACGGACATGGCTAGATCGACTCGCCTAGTGATGCTGATCAAGAATATATATACTTTATAGGGTCGGAGATGTCTCCTTCACTGCGTTGCAAACTTCTGACTGAAATTATAATACCCTCTGCAAGGGTATAATAAAACATAATCTTTCCTTGAAATTTTAAGCTACAAATAAACAAGTTCGACAGAGATGCAAATTAGTTTCCAGGCTATCAAAAACTCTTAAAGTGTCAGTTATTAGAAAATGAGGCCTGTCTGAAAAAAAGCTCATGTCATCACAGCATTAAAACCATCGCAGTCGTTACCGCGGACCCTATATTATTCCCTTATATATATAGTAGTACCGCCTTGTCTGGCGAATCGAGCTGATTGTGATTCCGGCGGCGTTCTTGATTTTGCAGAGATTCGCGACGCGGCGATGTTACTCGACCTGCTCGCTGCACGGCATTCAGCACGTGCGGCACAACTCCTGCGAGCAGACTTACATATAGTTTAGCGTATATTTATTTCACAATGATTACGCCCCCTTGCGCCCTGCGTCTCTGTCCGCAAGTCAATGGCAAGGTAAGCGACTTGTGACTTTGTGTCCTCCGACTATCTGTTCTCCGTTCTCTGTTCACTGCTCACTGTTCTCTGTCTGTGTCCTCCAAAGTCACCCACATGAAGAACTGGGGGCTAAACACGAGCATCCTGTCTCCGTTCCTTGGTTCCTGCATCTGTTACTGTCGCTGTTCTCTGTTTGCTGTTGCCGTCTCTGTCTGTGACTGCGCCGTCTCACTCACTCCTGTTTGTTGATTCGGCCGTGGCATTGTTGCTTGTGTCCTCATTTCCTTTTGTATCCGGTGTTTTCCTGAAATCTTCGAAGATTTTATTATTTTCCTTTAATTGCTAAAAAGTATGCTATAAAAAATCATGTTTCTAGCTTAAATTCTCTTCAAACCCGGTAATTGTTATATATTTTACCGGCTTTTAATTATGCAAATATAAATATTATAAAATAAAATACTTTACATGCGATTCTTTCTTATACAGTAACTTAAAATTAAAAACCATCGGATTTAAATTAAGAGTATAAAATTTGAAACAATTTGTTTTATAATACATAATATATGGTTGTGTTCTTTAACATATATTTTTTAATAAATAATGTATTTTATTTTCTAATAATAAATTCAGCTACCAAACGTCACCTATTTAAGCCTTCAGAGATTTCAGGAACAATCCCTTCTTATATGTGTTCTTGGTTGGCTTACTTTGCTGCAAAAAGAGCACAAAGCGAACACAGACTCTGATTTAAGCACCTGTTGAATGTGTTGCACCTGTACACGTATACAAACAAAAACACAAACACACACACACACACAGACACTGGGACACAAAGAAAGATGTCCAGCAACGCAAAAAAAAATGTCCCCAGGCACCAACACCTGAGCCCCAGCTCCGTTTTGATGAATGTTTTTTTTTGTACGTTGTTGCAGACAAGCTGAATAAAATGAAAAGAGCACAAACAAAGAAAAGAAGAAAATCGAAAGTTTCCACAAAGTCTCGGGGCACACACACCAGCACACACACATACACACACTTTCGCACACTTGCAGGACTCAATGTCCTTTCATCGTTTTTGTCACCGTTTCCGTTGCTGTTTTTGCTCTTGTTGATGTTGTTCTTGTTACTGTTGCTGTCGCCACTCACAAAAGATTTTTCCAGTGTACACAATGGCGAAACAAGGAAAACCCGAAACACAAGCACCCGCACTCTCATAAAGTGTTTGTTGATCTTTTTATACCCGCTCCGGTCGAGGAAAATGGTGTATATATGATTCAGGAAAGCAGACGAAAAAGCCTAAATATAGACTGGATCAGACTTAATAGATACAATCACTTGGGTTTTAGGCTTGAAAGCTACATTAAAGTTCGTCACATGAATTAAAGAAGGAAACCAATCTACCAATAGCACAATTTAGTTTAATTGTTTGGCTTTACTACTGAATTTTTTCAATTGATTTCTTATGTTTGTTTATGCTTGCAAGAATGAAAAATGTTCACTCCTGAAAATTTGTTACATTTGCTGATTGGTTTTGAATAAAAGTGTATGTACAGGCTACAAAAAAAACTTCAAGTGTTCACAACAATTTAAACCCAGTTAAAGAATAGGTAACAATTTTTTAAACATTTAGAAGTAATGGTTCATATATCTGTATTTTTTTCGAGTAAAGTTGTGTGTAAAGTGTAAGAAGGTTTTTCTTTGGGTTTTATGGATGAGAAGGAAGGGTTGTACTTTATTAGTTTGCCGTTTTATTATTTTTGAATTTTTACTTGGCCGGACGTTTTCCGGACTTTCTCTTTGCACCATCTGAGTTTGAGTTTTTATTTTAGGCCCCTAGTTTCCGTCCACATCCAAAAAATATCTACAAAGAAGTCACGCACACAGGATACTTGAGAAATGTTATCAAGTGAACCATAAACATTTTTTGCACTTAAAAATTTCCAACTCAATTTTCGCCTCGGCGATAAGCGTACACATTCGCACATACCACATGTAATTGTATTGATGAAAATGTTATTTACAGCAATCAACAGTCAATATGTGTCTGGCCTTGGTGGGTGTGTGGGTGTGGGTGTTGGGGTGCCGATGTGTGTGTTCTTATGCCTTTTCCGTATCCGCCCCTTTCGGATTTTGGGGTTTTTCCTTTGCGATGTGTCTGTCATCATATCAATTACACCCAAGAGCATGCCAATTTATTTGCCAAGAGTTTCCACAGCCAATTGAAAGCGGCATTCGAAGAACGCGGATGTGAAGTTTTGAGCACGACTGAGTCCACACTTGAAACATTCAAAGCTGATATCCCTAAATTCTGGTTCAATAGGCAGGATTACCTAAAAGGTAACTTCAATAAAATGCCTTGCACTTTATGGCTTTGTTAGGTTCAGAAATAAAACTTCACAGGATTAAAAGCTTACTAACAAAGTTAAGAGATTGACGAAGGATAAAGTTTGTACATTTTATTAATTTTGTTGTCCGTTGCAAAGCATTATGTCAGAAGTCTATGAAGCGACTATAAATAAGGAAAGCTCTTAATTTAATGAAAAGTTTTGTATGATTTAATATAAAACAGGGTTTCAAAAAATTGTTGTACACAAGGGAACTGTGAAAAAGGTTCAGAATTAAACACTAGCCTCAAATCACAGAAGCTAAAGGAATAAAAAAGGATATTAAGTATACGACTAGCTGAACATATTAAAATTTGATTTGAATAAAGCACACATAAGTATTTATTAGTTAAAATATAAATTGAAATTAACGAACAGCACCCGTAATAAGAATGGAATGGATAACCAACATAAACCACTATTCCGAACTGCTTTATATTTAAGTCTTGTTCGTTCTATTGCAAATCAGTCGCTCAGGAAGGACTTGCCCCTAGGCCGACAAATGAGGCGACTTCCGGCAGCCGCAATTTGCCTGCTGCACGACAAATGGAAATGGACTCTGGTCAAATAAGGATATTGCAGACGTGTGGTCTGGCCCCTGCCCCAAAGGACTCGATTTCCGCCCTCAAAAGTCTGGGCATCACCAGCCGCACTGTTGGCCTTCTTTGTGCCACCTCAAGCACATTGCGGTCGGCCACAAGTTGCTGCTGTCTGTGCCACTTTGTCGTCCCTGTTCGACACTTTAAAATTAACTTCACAGGAGATCCATCTTTAAGCTTTAATGCCACCGCCCAGCCACACACTTTCAAATGCACACTCAACACGCTGATCAATTGCCGACCATTGCCTGTGGGTCGCCTGACATTTGGGCCTTCTGTGAGCGCCCACTCGGTGTCCTAATGAGCCGTAAAGGACACCCACCCATCCAAACACAAGAACCCAACCTGCCAGAGCCAATTTGCATACCATTTCGACTGGCATCTTTCTTGTGCGTGCACATGGGGAAAAATCGCAAAAAGGTCACCCGTTGAGTACTTTACATATCGAGAATTATTTTATTTATGGCGTAACATAGCGACATTTTGAATGTCATAAGTTGAAATTTTATTATTCCGACTTTCCTTAGTCAAATTTTCAGGTTACTTGTTTCTAACTTTGATTTATATTTTACACATTTTCTTGAAAATATTATTCATTAAGATTCGGCATACAGTTATCACAAGAAATCTATCTATTTACCTAAGATATTCAAACATTACAGTCTTTTTTAATACAGGACCTCTTTTATTTAAACCTTCTATGTTTAATTAACATTTTTATTTGATTACCATTGAAAATATATTAAGCTCCTTAAAATATAAAAGAAGCTGCAGTATATATTGGTGCTGATTTCTCCTCTGTGCACCTAAACGCACCAAGGTGTTTTGATTGAAAACGCCAGCTAGCCAGAACGAACCCATTCGCACACTAAAACACTACACACCCACACACAATCGCAGCTGAGGCTGCTTAGCATAAATTTGTGAGCTTGTAAAGCAGAAATTTGTGATTCTGACTGTTTGCAGAGGAAACCGTTGGCCAACCGGAGGCCAACTCCCACATCGGATCTGCTTCGATTCGGGGCTTTCGAGTAGCAAGGCGATAACTGCAGGCAAATAGCACGTACTTTAATCCATCCTTAATAAATATTTTGATCATTGTGGCTGCTAATGCTTTCTCTGCTGCTGCTGCTGCTGCTCCTGCTGCTATGTATAATCGCTGCTAATTGCATCAATTATTGGACGAGCCTTTGTGCCATTTATGAGAACAAAAGCCAAATTGAATTCGACAACAAAATTGTTTAACCGATTAATCAAACTGATTTCATACCACTGAACCGAACTGAGGCGAACTAAATGGAACAATAATCAGGGACCCCCGAAATACATCCCTAATATATTGAGTCGATAATGGCTCATTTCTCGGGCAGGACCAACATCAAAATGTAATTTACCACAAATGTTGCGCAAACATCAATTATCCCTAATTGACTGTAACCGTGAAATTAACGTTTATAATTATGTGACGGAGCCGTTGGAGCGGAAGTCCGAGTTCCAGTCCATGGCAATTCGTGTACGCAGCCATGTAACTTTTAATGTCCTTTCGCAGGATCCTAAAAAGAGGAAGAGAGGGTGGCATGCCAATCGGGATGCCAATTTTGTGACTGTCAGCCTGCAAGGTCACCGGTTAAGCAGCCAAGATAGCTTAGCCCTTGGCTAAACTTTGAGTTTGACCCAAGTCGGGGTCCCAGCACCCCGCAGAGGTTTATTGAGTGCCAGGCAATAAATTACCAAAAGAGGCGTGGCCGCGGCAAGTTCGTGCGTGAAAAAAGCCCTTTTGGAACTTCACGGTGTCATTGACCTTTGCACGGAATCACACGAAAGGTCTTCCATTCTGGGTGGCAAGCCCCTGGGCAGACTTGTGAGTCACTAAAACGTTATGATAAATATACTCAAATCGCTAATAGCTCTAGATTAGAGTTTTTTATGATATAACACAAAATGAAAATGGTAGAAAGTTTTTAAATCAAGGCAGGGAATAGCTTATTTTACCTGAAATTTACTATTATTTTATTACCACTTGCCAGTTCTTTAAGAAACATTTATAATTTCTATATATTATTTGTATATATATATTTTTAACTTTGCTGTATTTAAAATATTTGTATTAAACATAAGATTAGAATTTTTAATTAAATTAGTTTGTACAATTCTTTATACTTTTTATTTTTCATTATTTTTTTATGTCTTAACCAGATTAATCTTAGATAAAAATATAAGAACCGAATTGACAGTGGTTATTATTTGGCCAGCTCTCGACTTTGTCCCATTCCTGCGGTTATTTTTCGGGATCGCCGGGGGGCTATAAAAATTGCAAATTACCAAGTTGCCTGGGGCGTCTGCTAAGCGGGCCATCCGGTCTGGCTCTTCAATTATTTAAGCTAATTGCGGCCGCACTCCGAGGACCAGCAGACCACTCGTCGTATACGCAATGCAAATTGAACGCATTTGGCTATGGGATTTTGGAATTTTATACGACCTGAAGGAGGCGTCTGTAAGACAGTAATTGAATTGGCTAACCAAGGATGATGGGTTTTCTGGTAGGGACGAGGTAAAATTCAGTTAGGTGGAAGCTACTGCCCAAAAAAGCAAAGTCTATATACGTCCCTGGAATTTTCTCAAAAACACACACGCACACTCACAAGATTTTGTTAATGTTGTTGTTACTGCTATTATTATTTGCCCTCACACAAAAACCAAAAATAAAAAAGGAAACTGAAAATTCTTAAAAAAGAGATTGGAATTTTCAGCAACCGCTTTTCTTTTCCTATTTTCCGACTCTATTGTTGTTCTTAAGACTGATTGTTGTTGCTCTTTTCCTAGTTTTTCTCCCCCTTTTTATTGTTTTGTTGTTTTCAATCATGCATTTTGCTTTGACTTTTACTGCACCCAAAAAAAAAAGAAGGGAAAAGAAAAGAAGATCAAGGGAAATCTGCCAGCAAAGCCGCAACAGTTTTCATCTCTCTTGTTATTGTTGTTGTATGCGACGCCTTCCCAGTTTTTTTTCCACGCCCTGGTGTTGTTGTTATTGTTGCTCTGGCTGCTCATTGTTGTTGTTGTCGTTTCACTTTGTTGTTGCTTTGTTGCTGCGGCGGCTGCGTTGAAACGGCAATTTTGTTTACAGCCACACTTTTACCAGAAAAAAAATAAAAAAAAACTTATCCGGAAACACTGCCCGCAAATTGTATGCAAACACTCGAAACGAAATAAGACAGCAAAATGTTAATTAAATGCTTTTCTCTCGCCTCTCTACTTTCTATTTCTGCTCTTGGTGTTGTCTTTCATTTGACTTCTTTGAATTAAATTGTTTTGCTACCTATCTTTCAATGTTTTAATCTGTTGTAAAATCTTTTTTACTTTTAATATTTTTTCAATTATTATTAATATTCTATGTTTTTAATTTAATCGTTTTGTCATGTACGCATTTGCCTTGTGACTTTCCTTCTTAAATTTTAAATGTTCTTCTATTATTTTATTATATATTTTTTTAAAATTTGTTTTTGTTTTTTTCCTTGTCTTTTTTCTCTTATTTCACACAGTGCCACGTGGCCGCTGCAATGGTGGCAGCCTCCACCTCCTTTGGCTACCACTCGGTGAACCAGATCGACCGCACGCTCATGTGACGACAGCTGAGCAGTTGCAGCACCTGCAGCGGTGGCAGCAACTGCGGTGGCTCGCGATCAGCCCACCACCAGCACCACTCCTCCGGCACGGCCACGCCCTCCTCCTCGCAGCGATCCTGCACCAGATGCCAGAGCTTCCATCGCCACCACCACCGTTCCAGGCGCCGCAGCTCGGGGATGCAGTTGCGCGGCGATTACAGCTCCTCGACGGCGGTGAACAGTGCGCTGGCCAAGACGATTGTCACGATCAGTGCTCCTCCGGTGGCGGCTGCCTCGGCCAGTTCCCTGCACTTGGGAGCCGGAGCAGGCGGTCGACCCTCCTCGGTGTCCACCCTCACCATTGCCTCGGTGCCAGCAGGGGGGTCCATCAGTGGGGCCAACACCCCGCTGGCTCCCAGTTTGAAGGCCCTGACGCCAGGACCCTCCAACTCATCGGGTCACCATGTGTCCTTCATGCCCATGACGGGCATGAAACGTTTGCGCAGCTCCAACGCCTCGCTGGGATCTCCGAACGGGATTATCGGCGGTGCCGGAGTGGCGGACACCACCTCGGCACCCTCGCTCATCGACGCCGGCGAGGATCAGGCCCCGATGCGGAACCACCACAGGATCCTGGAGCAGTGCCAGAGTGGCCAGAGCCAGATCACCACACTGGGCGACGTGGAGGACGACGAGGAGGCCAGCGACAGCGAGAGCGAGAGCATCGGACTGGCCCTGGTGGAGACCACGCCCCAACTGGAGAGCCAGCCCATGGAGGCGTCGAGTTCCTCCAGCTCCTCGGTCAAGTAAACTCAGCACCAGAACCACAAAGCAAAGCCCAGACTTTATTTTTAAGATACAAACATATAGGTGTGTTTATCAGGGCAAGTCGCGGAAAACTTTGGACAGTTCTAAGCCATTTTGCTTAAAAGCTAAACAATTTATCATATTCTAACGTTTTCTTGTCCCAAATAAACTAATTTTTTTATAAGCTTCCTCTTATATATGTATAGCTTTTTTCTACAATCTAAACCTATTTAAGTTAAATGTAAAATAAAGAAGCTAAAAGTAATGTACCATACTTTTTTTCAACCCAACATATAAAAACCATCTCTATGTACTTTTTAGGCAAAATTGCTTAGACATGTCCATTGATTTGTTATATCTACCTATAAATCGACCCGCCCAAAGTGTGTACATAGCAATCTAGTCTCGCCTAGTCACTCATTAGCTTATCGATCGGTGATAGAACACTATGCAGCAAGCAACCCCTTCTAAATCGCCCCTTCTCTCTGCTTTTCAGTCACTGGCGGTGGTTGCATAGTGTGAATTAGTGTTACTGTTAGCTGTCATATCTTAGATCTTCCATTACGTAGATGTATTCTATTCTGTTCTGTTCTGTAAATGTCTCAAACACGTCTAGCAGTTGAATTGAAAGCTACGTCTTCAACCTGTCCAAGTACCTGACTCTCTCTCAAAAGCCAATACTAAACTGTATATAGCTTAACTTCACTCCTTCTATCTATCAAAACTAGCTTTCCGTTACTCGATACTTGTTCGTTTGTTATTTGTTATTAAGTGAAATTAACTCTACGGGTGCAATATGAATTTATACCAACTAAACATAGCCTCAGTAAGGACTCGAACAATCAGGCAAACAGGCTTCAAGACCAGTTCCCAAATGTAGGCGATTCAAGTACAAAATCACAGAAGGAGCTCTTGCAAATTATCAGATAATTATGCCCACCCTTCATTATGTTCTTTGAACTATAGCAATACATGTTACATAGAGTGAATGTTAAATGTGCTTCAGACAGCCAGAAAGTTGAAATTAATGAATTAATCCTTCAAAGGGTTCGCCCCATCCATTTGTGTATTATTACATGTATGCTTATGGATGGGTCAAGCTCATCCGATTCCGATTTTGCAATAATTAATGTGTGCAATTAGGATTGATTTCGCCGACCACAAAACAGGAAAATAAATTGAGAATAAGAAGGGAATTTGTTGAGGAAAACCAATAACAATGGCGAGACGTCAGTTTGGTGGATGTGTAGGAACAAATCACTTGGCCCTCGAGAGAATGGAAAAATGTTGCTCATTGTTTTCAAAACAAACAAAGCGAAATGGAAAATGATGGAAAGCCGAGGGAAACAAAACAAAACAAAGGCAGCGGCAAACCAAACAAATGGCAATTATTAATATTGAATATGGTAGCCCATAAGTGACATACATAGCTCATAGAGTCCTCGTTGTGTCTGTGTATCGGTGTGCAAGCATGTCTAGTCCTAAGTTTACATGTAAATGCATTATCCTTAAGCTCCGGAGCGAGATTGGCAACCAACGGAGACACAAACTCAATTGATTGCCACGCATATTAGGCTAAGCTGCAAACTGCAAACTGCAAACATAGATTTATATATTGAGTGTACTATACTGTAACTACCATATACAAAACTACGTCAGGAGATTAAAAAGCGACAACTAAGAAAGAACACTCAGCGATGACTTTGCCTTATTTAAATTTCAGACCGAGCATGGGCACTAAGGGAATCTTTGCGAATTTGTGGCTTTTCAGGGGGTTGAAGGATGGTTTTCAGGGACTTTAAATGCCATGAGTTGCCACACTTGATGGCTGATGGCCAGCCAAGCAAGAAGACAGAGTGCAGTCCCAGTTCGGCAAACAACTGGCAAAAAGTTTACACTTTACATTTTCGGATCATGCCCCTTGAACCCACATTTTCAGGGGCGGGGGGGAGGTAAGTATGTCAGTCAGCCATTCGGTGGGAAAAAAGGGATATGGCCAAGATGGATAGACAGCTGCAAGAGTTGCAGTCAGCAAAGTGCGAAAGTGCGATGCAACGCATCTTAAACAACTCTCAGAGGTCATCTCGCATGTGTGCCTGGCTTTCGTGTTTTGTTGCCCCTTTCGTCCTTGTGTGTCCTGCTCCCAGAAGGACACCATCCCCGGTCGGAGGTGTCCGCCGTAACAATGTGGGGACAAAACGTGCTGCGTGTATTGACTCACTAATGAGAAAATGAACAAGAAGCCAGCGGAGCAAACCGGAGCAAAACTACGCAGCTCTAGCGCACTAATGACCCACAGTTGAACCCAGAGATACAAATGGAGATAGGGATACGCTGATGGAGATACGGATACAATAGAACCGCACTGCGCAACGCCTTAAAGTTCACTTGGGGAAAAAAAGTAGAATGATATCTGATTGAAAGCCAGCGTTTTTAGTAAGTTAAGTCTAATAAGTCTGTCTTGTTTATATTATTCAAAATTATTGATTAAAACTTATTAATTTTGGATTAATTAAAAAAAGAATTAATGAATTATACATGTCGTATGAGTAATATATAAGTATGTTTCTTATTTTAGATTATATTTTTCTCCCAGTGCGAAAGATAACATTTAGCTGGCAATCTGCGACTTCCACACCTTTGATTGTCCGCAAAACTTTGTTGTGCCAACTCTGTAAAAATGTAGAAGGGCGGTTACAGCACATCAACGCTTCGCTCAGCTCCGCTCCAGATATATGAAGTAAGTATATAGCACAGATGTAGTCGTGGATGCAGCGTGTCCTTGCCCGTAATCAGCCAAATAACGACTGCCAAAATGGTGGATAAGCGCGGAACTAATAAAACGGGGAAACGTTGCACACTGCACACAATAAGCTGCGACTGGGGCTCATCCTTCGGGGAGGTCCTTGCCCCACAAAAAGCCCCCTTTTGCACCCCCTTAGCTCAGCTTATCACTGGAGTTGAAGGCTGCGTCAAACCCTCGACGACATTTTATTTGCTCGCTGGTAATTTTGTTTCCGTTAGCTACTAGTGTTTTTCCCCATTCCTTCTGGCCATCTCGTCCTTTTTCCTCCTTTTGTTGTGTTTGGTTAATGAACCGAAATGCGTGTTTGTCTCCCACGTTTCGGGTTTGTATTTTGTGGCATTACGACTGGAGTTCGCCGCTCTATCGAGCTCCTTGCCACATCCTGCCTCGTCCCCCTGATCCCTTTAGCCAGAATGGTGGCAAAATTGTGCTGCCCCAAGTATGTATTGCAATCATTGTTTTGATGACTTTGTTGCTGGGCAAAGTCAAATTCGCGTCTCCAGGGGGAACGCAGAAAGGGGGAATTTTATTCGGTTGTTTGGATTATTGTTGGAAGCTTATGTTCTAGAACCGGATTCTATTTATGGCTGTGTCTTTTTGTATGTGGCTGCCACACACACACGCAATTACAAAATCGCTGTCTGGCATTTCCGCTCCGCCGACTTGTAATGCCTTTAATTATACTCAAATAAAAAGGTCTAGCTCTGGGGGCTGCAGCTTCAATATTCTTGTTTTAACAAAGAACAACTTTTTCAATTAATTGAACTGAATGATCAAAGAAATTTTACTTTAGTTATCAAAACCATTTTTTTGTTTTTAAATACAAATTTGTTTTATGTGTTTTATATAACCAAATACAGTACTGTAGATAAGATTATAGGTAAATATTATTTATGCTTAGTCTTAAATGAATTTTATTGGTATTTTATTTTAAGTAATGATATACTTTGATAACCTTAATACGATTAAAAAAATCAATTTAAGCTAATTCGTTTTCAGTTTCTGTAGATAAAAACGCCCAATTGTATATTATCTACAACGCCCAATTAATATATTAATACGACCAGTCATTCCATCATAAAAATCGATGTCGAACATGGCGATAATGAAATCAAAACTCACTTACTGCCACATCTGCAAACCGCAGTGGCTAAAAAGTCACAATGTTACGCTCAAATTTGCCAAGAGCTGTAAAAAGTTCCTCGCCTCTGTGATTACTTTTACTTTCTTTCTTTTTTTTCGTTTTTTGCGGAGTGCCTGTTTTACCATTTTATGAATTTTTTGGGATCGGAAAAAAGGAAGCTTTAATGAAATAAGTGGGTTGGTGTGCTGCCAGCGATTTATTGCATTTGAAATGTGAATTATTAATGCGAATCCTTTGGTAAGCGAAGTTCGGCGAAAGTCTCTTGAATATGCAGAGGGAAAATTAGTGGTTCCATCGCTGACGTTGTCTTTATTGGCCCTTAAAAGCCGCTAATGAAATCAATATAGCCGCTCTAAACAATTTCGCCTGCGCGGAGCGCATAAAAATGCTAAATAATTTGATGAACTGCCGCAAGACGCAGTCCGGAAAAGTGGATGGAAAAGTGGGCGGAGGAAACTCAAGGAAAAACGACTCGAGGATGACGAGATGGATGGCTGCCTGGCTGACTGCCTTTTGTCGTAAAAGGCGCCGTTCTCTTCCTGTTATAAAAATGCGACCGGACGACCCTTTCATTGTGTTTCGATTCAGAAAACGGCGACTTTTAGAGGGGTTTTCAGTGAGTGGGTGTGTGTAGGAGATAGGCACTTGCACTTGCCTTGGCCAAGAACCACGGGAGGCGTGGCTGGCGCCCAAATTGTATAAATATAAACGACATTAAAGCGCGTCTGGAAATAAAACAAACAGCACGTCAAACCCAATGAACTGAGCAGAGGTCCTTCTGCCTCCATCCCCAACTTATTTGTAAAGAGGCCCACCTGATGCGGCAATTCAAGCGCAGCTTCATTGTGCTGTGCTCCATGCTCTGGGTTCGATTTTCCATATCTCTACACAATGCTCCAGCTATTTTCGTAGGATCCGCGAGGAGGCGGCTAAGTGGGTGTGGCAGGTTCGCTGCCAATTTGCCATTGTGTGTTTATATTTAACCATTTATAAATATATGTGAACAGCAATGACAATGTCCTCGACATAAGTCGTTGTTATTTGGAAGCCAAAAATTGAGCAGCCAACGAAAAAAATAGAGGTACAGTTTGGCATCGCTAAAACGGAAAGAAATCGGAGCAAAACTCTAAAAAAATTATCATGAAACATACCCTAAATTATAAAATATATCTGTTTCCTAGCATCAAGTTATTTACTAATTGCACTTGGAGCATACAAATTGTGATTGGTGTGTTTAATACAACAAAATGCAATTTTTTTACTTTTAAACATTTTATAGAGTTACAGAAAATCCCAAGACATTACGTATGGACCGCGCACTGTTTTTAAAAACTGTAAGAAACTCTCAACGACGTGTCAATGCCAAAGGTTCACACTTTTTGGCGTGGGAGATCCTTTTCATATCGGTGGGGTTATTGTTATTGGAGATTTTGGCCTCGATGTCCTGACGGCTGTGATGGCAACACATTGTTCTAAATATCTAATGGTGCCCAAAACAGGGAATTTGCAATTGAAGCGTGAAT